AGCCATTTTTCACTATAGTTTATTACCTGGTGAGTTCTCATGTTAAATCACTTCTGCATAGCTGACTGCTGGGCTCCTGAATTAACAAAACATGTTACAGTACAGAACAAAGATCTCTTTCTTTCCAGTCTGATATGTACCTACACACAAAGGTGATCACAAATCCCTGCACTGGTATAAGCCAGGGAGTTTAATCATCTCATGGTATCAGTTGTCAATATGGAAAGTATTGTTCCCATCGCAATGAAGGACCACTGCTATCCAAACATTCTCTTTAAAGTGACAGTACACATATACTTAAAATTAAACGAACACTATAGTCACCAGAACAAATACAGCTTAATGTTGTCTATAGCCTGTCCTTGCAGGCTTTTAATGTAACTACTGCCTTTTCAGAGAAAAGACAGTGTTTACATTTCTACCTAGGAACACCTCTAGTACCAATCACTCAAAGGGCCACTAGAGGTGCTTCCTGGGTCAGTGCTGCAAACTGTGCATGCTCTGTATGGAGGTGCTGTACATTCCCCATAGAGATGCACTGATTTAATCCATCTTTATGGGGAGATGATTGGCACAGCGCAGTGTTTTGGAGCGCAGGAGCAATAGCCTCCTACTGTTTCCCTACAGGATAGTGTTGGATTGGCTGAGATCGTCAATTTGATAATCACAGCCGAGGAGGAGTGCCAGCCACAATGAGAGCAGCACAGTGCTGGAATAAGGAGTTTAAACACCTTTTACTTTGCTGACAGGAGGAGCTGGAAATCTAAATAGCACTAGTAGAATGTTTGTGTTCCTGACACTTTAGTCTTCCTTGAAAGTAAATATAATTTGTATATGCGTGATGCATGCAAAATTGATAGCAAATATAGAGATTTTTTGGGAGGGGTGGGGGAGGGGTGAGGAACTATTTACAATCATGGTCTCTTACTTTTTAATCAATTCTTTCCATAGAGAGCTATATATCTCTATAACGGAACGTTAACAATATTTACCAAATATACTACTTTTACAATAAAAATTATGTCTGGAATCAGCATAAATTTTAGTTTTAATTACCCAAACCACTTCTAGAAAAATATTAAATTTACTTTGCCTTACTGACATTTTCACAGGGGCGGAATAATTCAAAACTAGTCATGTCACACAAGGAAAAGACACAGACTTGTTACCAGAGTAGCAGAAAAAAAAACAATTCTTGCAAAGCTAAGAGTTGATTTTGCTGTAGAAAACTACAAACAGGATTAACCACACCATGCTGAACACGGCAATTCTCGTAACATGATATTACGCTTTACTCCAAAAATACCATATTAAGCTGCGTTTAAAAGAATACACATATTATAATGGAGTCACTAAGCTGTGTCTTTATGTTTCATATTATTTTGACAAAAACATGAACAGGTATTTAACCAGGCATTAAAAGGACACTAAGTACCATAACCACTTCACCTAATTGAATTTGTTAAAGTGCCTTGTGTCCTCTGGCACTGTCCCTCCATTTAGTGTTAAACCTTTTTTGAGCAGTCTAATACTAAATAAGCATCCCAGCCAACCGACAGCTTGGCACCTACTGGAGGTATTGCTAAGAGATTACACATTAAAGAGTGCTGTGAAAGGCTGATTTAGGTCTTCTGGCACTCTCACCCAGTCTCTGGCTAATTCTTCTAATTCTCTCAGTGATGCTGAGGATTGTCATTTAGCATTAAATCATTCAAAATGGTTCAACAACACTGAATGGAGGAATGGCATCAGGGTACTCCCAGACAGTACAACCACTTCAACAAGATGAAGAGCGTACAGTGGTAACAATTTCCCTTAATCTATGGGTTATGAATAAAAGTATGATAAAAATCTTTCCAATGTAAAAAGTGCAATCAGAAATAAACATGCAGGTCTAAACTCCTCACTGAGTCTCATTTAAAAAAACAAAACAAAACAAAAAAAACACACAAACAAAAAAAACACACTAAACACAATGAAGAACTCATGAATTTCCAGAATGCTGTGCAATAATATGAAAATTTGCAGCCATATTTGTCACATATCAGTGACAAAGAACCTCTGCTTCACACACATATTTCAGAATAAAGCATCACTTTTGGACTCACTTTTGGACTGAATTCTTCATTGTCTACTTAATCTATTACACCTTCTTCTGAATTTACATACTACAGGGCAGCCCTTTTCATACATCAATATGTATATGTGATATGTCTTCCTGAAAACATGGTGCAAATGGAAACCCTAGTGGATAGCCTTGTTTTTTTTATCAAAACAAAACAGCCACTACACTGAATATTTTGGGGTGCTTATAGTGCCTCTTAAAAAGGTTTTCATTTATTTGTTTGATTGTTTTCTCTCATTTTATGTTCAGTCTGTGTGAAGATTGCTTTCTCTATATATCTTCCTCTGTATGGTTTAGTGAATATCTTGTTAAACTAGCAAAGAAATAAAACAATGACAGATATGTTTAATTTTATATGCTTGGTAGAACACCCATTAAATGTTTTCTCAGGCACAAACTACACCAATAAGCCTTTAATAAACACATCATTTTAATTAAGTATTTCGATGAAGTAAGATGAGTTATGATGTTATAAACACAAATTGGAAAATTAACCTCTTCAGAGAACACGTGCCCCAACTTTCACAGTAACAAGTAATTTGCATAAGCATGAAGTTCCCATTACAATTCTTCCTTTTTATCTTTTCTTTTTTTTTCTTGTGGCATTTCCTTTATTTAAAAATGGAATGTGTACAATGGAGATGGTAAAACAAAGGTAATTGGATGGGGCAGGGCCTGGCCGCCAAACTGAATGGTCGCATGCAGAGTGAGCTCTGACCGAGAATCGCCGAAATTACCCCAAAAAATGTCTTTTCAGAGCTGACAAATGGCAATCCATGAGCTGGAGTTAGCCTAAAAGCAACTCTGCTCCAGCCCGAAGCTTTACAGGCCCACGACAAGCCGTTTGAGCCCGTACGCTACTGAGGCCTACCTGGAGATGAGAGTGTGGCAGAAGTTCTCCCCGCTACCTCTCCGACTAGAATAAGCCGATGAAACACGGGACTCCATTCCCCGACCGGTGGGGGTTATCCCGGCCCCATCACCCCAGCCACACTTACCGGCCGCTAGACCTGTGGCCATGCACAAGCGCATACCGTGGCATAAAGCCTTCCCTGCCAGCCAACCTAAGATGGCGGACGCCGGGCACTTCACCACACCACAAGGCCAGACAGAGCTGCTCCTAACGAAACTCAACTTAATTTTTAAAGCATTCTGTCGAAAGCTCGAGGAGAGGCAAAGAGGGAAAACCCTGCTGCTCCACTCACCTCCTGTAGCTCAGCGGTCCCTGCTGAGGCTTCCAAGGTGGAACGGCAAAACACCCAGGCGCCGGAGAAGACCACGCAAGCACCCAGCTCCACGGGTTAGGTCTGATCACAGAGCCCCACCGCAGAGTCTCTCTCCCACAGGAGAACATCCACAGCCCCACCAGGCCGTGCACGGCCCCAGCTCTAATGCCGATCGGGGCTTCCGGAAATCACCAGGAGCTTACCTAAAAGCTACATGGAGAGAGGGTGGCGGGCTAAGACAGTTAGTGGCGGTGGGACATGAAACGCGAGGAAGTTCTGACCATCTTGTATACCCCATACTTAGTCTGGAAAGAGATGGTCTGCAGTGGCCCAAATGTGGCATAGGCCGAATCATCGATCTCACCTGACTGCTGCTCCCAAGCCGATATCTGAGCAAATGCATCCATCATCAACTCTAACTCCTCTCTGGAACACTCCCCCGGCCTTGCTGGGACATAATGTGCACCACAATTGGATTTGCAGCTGGCACCTGCGTTGTGCTTGCTAAACGGGACAGATGCTAGGATACTGGTTAAGCTAGCTATTAGTAACATTACATAGGCAGATTTACCCAGCTTTCTTTAGGACACATACATCGTGTATGCACACCATGTATAAACCCTAGCAATACATTAAGCCTAACTTGTTTCCTAATTGTTTATTATAGTTTTTAATTGTCTTTGCTAACGTTTAACCACACGGTACTTAGCCTGACCTAACATAACTCTCACATGACACAGTCTTACCTCACACGTATACTATATAGCGAAACACCAGTTACATTACGCTAGTTCATAAAACACAAAAAACTGTGCAATTACTCATGCCACTGTTTTGCCTGTATGACTATGTACACGGTTGTGGCGTTTGCTGATGCTTTGTACCTAACTGCACAAAAAAAATAAATAATAATAATTGGACCATTATTCCAGGTAGATATCTGCCTGTCACAGCCATGACTGAAGGAGAGCTTCAATTCACATTAGTGAAGCATAGACCCTCAAAATATTCCTAAGGGAATTATCTCATGCTGGAGAGATTTTTTTCCCCCTTCAGTTTTTAAAACCTTATTCAAATCAAGTGGTACATACAACAAAATTAAAATAAAATAAAAATGCAATATATAAATAAAGTACAAGAGCATGGGTATATTACTTCACATGGCACAATTACAATGGCCATGTTAAGAGAAACCGTGTATCTCTCAAGCTGTATATAAATCAAAGGAACAGAAAAAAGTGGAAAAACAAGAACAAAAAAATTAGAATGTGAAGGGGGGGGGGGGTAATGAGATACGAGAAACAACCCTTTTTATAACAGACCAGTAATGGGGAATCCAAGGTCAGTCCCTCCAATGATGTTAATAAGTATCGGGCCCTCCACCACAACGTCAACAGTTATCTGGTATGGTAAATCCAGAGGAGAAAAGCTGTGGCTTCCGATTATCTTTAAGCCCTTTACTTCTTTCACTATTTCTATAAATATTCAGAAAGTCTCTTTTTTTTTTATAACAGTGAACACTGGAGTTGTTTTTTTTTTTTTTTGACAATCTTTATTTTGACTTTTAGCATCGGTACAGTGTGTCGATTCTTGAACAGAGTAAGGTACAAAATATCAACGTATAGGAGGTATAACATCCAACAGGATAGAAACAGAACATGCACTCAAAAAACACGGGGGATCTTAAAACAGCTGACCTATACTAATCGGTGAGACCCAGATAATGGCATGGTGGTGGAAGGCCGGGTCTGTCACGCACTATGATCAGGTGCGGTGGTCAGTGTCTCTCCAGTGACCTCTTCTGGTGTAAGGCAGTCACAAACGTGGCTCCCTAACTTGTTAGAGCGTAACAGGAAGTCGACGTAGTCGCGGTCAGTTGTCTGGGGAGTTAAACCGGGATCCTCGTCCAGTTTGTCAGAGGCCCGCTCATGGTTACACTAACAAATGTCGGCGGCCAAGGGGGTCATCAGAGAGGTCAGGTCTCAGTCAGCCGTCCGGCTATCGTTCAGAAGCTGTTGGTTGAGAGGGAGGGGGAAGTAGGCTCCCAGCCCCGCCCGCCGAGAGGTACCACAGCCAGGGCGTCCAAGTGCGAGCACATTTCTCTTGCCTATCATACAACGCTGCTGTAAGGGATTCCATACTATATAGATCCCCCACCTTGTCGATCCACTGCTGGAGCGTGGGCGCATCCCTGTGTCTCCACCTCGTAGGGACCAGTGCAATGGCTGCCGTTAGTAGGTGTTTTATCAGAGATTTCTTGTATACTGAAAGGGTCATGTCAGTGTGATGGAGGATCATGGTGAGGGGTTGTAGTGGAAGGGCAATATCTGTGATTTGCTTAATGGTCTTTTGGATCGTGGTCCAGAAGGGGGTGATACCCGGGCAGCTCCACCAGATGTGGAGGGCGGAGCCATCGGCATCGCCACATCTCCAGCAATCCCCAGGTATCTCAGGGTTTATACGGTGCAGAATGTCTGGGGTTCTATACCAGTGCGTGAGGACCTTAAAGCTGGTCTCCTGAAGTTTGGAGCTGATGGAACATTTATGTGTTAGAATAAAAATCTTGTCCCAGTCCTGGTCTGTGAGCGTGGTTCCTGTCTCTCTCTCCCATCTAGCAATGTATCTTGGGTGCGACGGGTTTTCTCCAGTAGCTAGAAGTGCGTAAAGTGTGGAAACGCCCCTCAGAGGGTGAGCCCTTGTGGTGCAAAGTGTTTCGAACTGCGTGGGGATTCTGTGGAGGCCCTGTTTGTTTGGGAAGGTCGCGTAGTATGCCCGTATTTGGAGATAGCGGAAGTGGTCTAGGCCTGTGGGTACTGTGTCCCCCAAGATGTCTGTCAGAGGCTTGAGTCGGTCCCCCTGTATTATATGATGGAAACTAATCCAGTCGGAGTCAGGGTATGCGTGTAGGTCCGCAGGCGTTAGTCCCCCTCCGACCCCCGGATTGTGTGTGATGGGCGTGAGAGGGCCATCCAAAGTGGAAAGTTGATGCGAGTACCGCACCGTACACCAGACTCGTAGCGTTGCGTCAATCATTGGATTGCCTGTAAGCAATGAATTTTGTGCGAGGGATCCAAGCCACAGGCGGGAGGGAAGAGTTCCGCCCGTCTGAGCTAGTTCCATGGGGACCCATAACTTGGCCGTGTGACGTACGTGCCAGTCCACAGTCCTAAGTAAGTGGGAGGCACGGTAGTATCCCAGAAAGGAGGGGAGACCAGCTCCCCCACGGGCTTTGGGGCGTTCTAGGAGCTCTTTGCTCACCCTACTCGCTTTCCCGTTCCACACGAATTGCCGAATCGCCTTGGAGAGAGATTGGAAAAAGGCTCTTGGTATGGAGATGGGTATCGTTTGGAACAGGAATAGGAGACGCGGTAGAACATTCATTTTAACGGCATTGATCCGGCCGAACCAGGAGACATAAAGGTTCCTCCAGCGGTGTAGGTCAGCCTGTAGGACCGTTAGGATGGTGAGAAAGTTAAACTGGTATAGGAGGTTTAGGTCATTAGGTAACCAGATCCCAAGGTATTTTAGCTTGTTGTCGCACCAAGAGAAATGGAACTGCAACTTGAGGTGTGCTACCTTTCCTGCTGAGAGCGTGATTGGGAGGACCTCCGATTTGCTCATGTTTAACTTAAGGTTGGAAATATCGCCAAAATCCTTGAAGGCTCGGAGAAGGTTAGGTAGGGATATCGCGGGGTTGTTAAGGAAGAATAGCATGTCGTCCGCATATGCGGCCACCTTATTTTCCGAATTGTGCAGTCTGTACCCCGTAATGCCCCCATTCCGTCTGACCGCCTCCAGGAAGGGTTCCAGGGTGAGGGCAAACAGAAGGGGGGACAGGGGACAGCCCTGTCTCGTGCCATTGCGAATGGGGAATGGGGCTGAGAGGGCACCGTTGATCCTTATGCGGGCAGTCGGGGTAGTGTAGAGCGCTAGTATCCAGGAGCGGATATGGGGTCCGAATTGCATATGACGGAGGGTAGCTTCGAGGTACTGCCAGTCCACCCGGTCGAAGGCTTTTTCCGCGTCCGTCGAGACCAGAACTAGCTCCTTATTGTTCGACCGGGCGGAGTGGATCAGGTTGAGTGCTCGTATGGTGTTGTCCCGCGACTCCCTACCCGGGATGAACCCCACCTGGTCGGGGTGCACCAACGTTGGGAGTACGCGGGAAAGTCGGATGGCTAAGGTCTTGGCGAATAGCTTAAGATCCGAATTAAGGAGAGAGATCGGTCTGTAACTCCCGCAGTTGGTGGGATCCTTTCCCTCCTTCAGTATGACCGTCACTGTCGCGTGTAAAGAATCTGCTGGGAACCCACCACCCTCCAATAGAGAATTAAAGCCCTGTAGCAAGTGTGGAAACAGTGTGTCTCTAAACTTGCGCAAGTAGGAGACTGGTAGGCCGTCTGGGCCCGGGGCCTTGTTGGATTTGGACTGTTTAAGGGCGGCAACGAGTTCTTCCTCCGTGATAGGTTGGTCCAATTCCTCAGCCAGATCTTCCGGGACCCTGCGCCCAACGTACTCCAAGAGAAAGTCATTCATCCGTTGCAGGCGTAGCGGTGCCTCCGCACGTTGTGCGATGGCGTCAATATTATAAAGCTCTGAGTAAAAGAGCCTGAATGTCTGAAGGATGTCTGCTGGAGACCTCTTCGTCACCCCATCCCTCCCTGTAATCTGGTGGATGTGATGTTGTCGCTGCCTCTGTTGCAGAGTACGGGCAAGTGTTCTTCCACACTTGTTGGAAAATTCATAGAAATGTCTATTGGACTTTCGAATGGTGTGCAGTAGTTTCTGAGAGAGCAGGTCTTTGAGTTGCCTGCGCTTGTCGGTGAGGAGGCGATAGGTGTCTTCCGTTTGATCTTGCTTGTGCAGCATCTCCAGGTCAGCTATCGCGTGTATCAGGTCTTGGATCTTTGCGGTATGTTCTTTTTTCCGTTGCGTGCATAACTTGATGAACTGGCCCCGAATCACGCATTTGTGCGCCTCCCATACCGTCAAAGGGGCCATGTCTGGGCTGCTGTTGTCAGCAAAGTATTGGGTCAGTGTTTGGGCGATCTGTGTGGTAAAATCGGCGTCCAGCAGGACACTGTCCTTCAGTCTCCATTGCCGCTCCCGTGGCTTGAAGAGCGGCGATTTAAGCGTAACATGGACAGGGGCATGGTCTGAGTCGTGTTGTATCCCTATGGTGGACGTGATCAGAAAGGGGAGGAACTCTTGGGCTAGAAAAATATAGTCTATCCTGCTATATCTGTTATGTGCCGCGGAGTAGCACGTGTAGTCTTTAGCTTCAGGATGCGCCACCCTCCAGCAGTCGACCAAGCCTGACCTAGCCAATGCCTGTTTGGCACTTCGTACGCAGTGTGAGGGAATGGCG